CTTCTTTGGGCTCTTCCCTTTCTGTTATTTTTTCTAACTCTGATGAGTTCGTTTTTGTTTAATCTATTATATTTCATTTTATAATCAGCCCATAGAAGCCTTTTTATTTTTTAATGAGAGATAGAAAAAGAGAGTGGAAGGAATTGGGCAGGGGACTAGAATTAGGATATATTATGTGAGAAAAGAATATATTTTCAATAAAAGGAAAAAATTTTGATAGCTATAGTTTGTATGAGGTAAGTCTTACTTCTTTGTGTCATAAGCCAATGTCTTTCTTATAACTAAATTCTTCAGTTCCAACTCACCAGAGTATGGTCTACCAGACTCACCTTGCAAATTATTAGCTATAGCAATAATTTTCTGAACTCAGCAATATCCATTAGTGTGATAACAAGTTTGGAATGTTTCTTTTTATGCCCACAATATCCAGCTGCTTTAGCTTCCTGACACTGGCCTGTTTGGATTAACACCCTTCAGGAAATATTTTAGGACTTTTCATTAAATCACACAACCATTTAAAAAAAAGAAAAGGGAACCTACTAAATTCACTTCCAACTATTTGAGTAGCCTTGGGTGCCACAAGGAGGACTGGATGATGAGCTTGCTTCATAGTTTAACAGCTTTTCTATATTTGTGAATTTTTAAAAAGCAACATGGGTATTTATTAACAAACTTTGTATGAGTTAATACTGAGTATAATGAACAACTTGTTTTTATCTTGTGAAATGCCTTCTTGGGGTTTTAGGAAGCTTACAACTTGTTTCTTCTTGGGTTGAAGCTAACTGAGGTGCTTTGAAAGCCCACTAGGGAGAGACATGGAGTCTTTACACCACAGTTTGGGTCACTGTGCCAGTTTCACAGCAAGGACACAAAAGTTTCAGGAAAGGCATCAGTAAAACAGGCTGCCAAGGGCCTCTTCACCCTCTAGGGAACAGTTGAGCACAGCAAAAGTATGCTGCCCATGAAACTCAAAGATACACAATAAAGTTTCCTCCTACGGATGAAAAAACAAAAACATATCACATACTAAATATCAGATCTCATTCAACATACAGAATTTAAGAGATGGTTAAATACAAAAAAAGAGTTGCAAACAAAATACATAGATTTTCAGAGAAAAGGAGAAATGTAATAACATACCAATGACAGTAGCTTTGAAAATTAAAAATGAGGGATATTTGCCTGCAAGTGTTCACCTTCCTATAACACACACCTGAGCACTTGACATGCACACACACACACACACACACACACACACACACACACACACACACACACACACACTTATGCTCTGGTACAGTCATGCATGACTGACTCGGTGATGACTGACTATTATATCAACTATTGGCTTATCAGGAAATGTTTCTCCTTTTACTCAATCTTCACACTTTCCTACTGTAAATCAAAGCCAGTTATCACAGGCAGTGGAGATGTTGTCAGAGTAAGTCATACCTACATGTGTTTGAAGAGTCAGGAAGTGAAAGGGACTGGCAAAACTGAAGGGCTCAAATTACAAGTGTTACTGGTTGCATAGCTTTACTCTTGTGGCATTTGGGGACAATGTTTTTCTCATCACTCTAGTTACAGTAATATGGTTAAGCTGGAAGTTGCAATTCTCATAATGACCTACAAATTCTGATAACTTTTTTTCCCAAATGTAAACCAAAAGGTAGTTTGATACTTTAGAAAGTAGTCTTGCCCTTATTAAAGTGTACCTCAGACAAAACCCAGGGAAGGTGATTTGCTCTCTGCACATTTAGTATGTGTTCCCCAATAAAGTCAACTGAAAGTTGAGGGAAGACACCCCTTGCCTTTTTTCACTTGCAGTCAGCTACAATAAACCACTTCAGGCTGGTTCCAGCCAGGGAGGCTTCACAGTGCCGTAAATGCAAAACTTTTTCAGGAGCCCAAAACGTTAAAATGTATAAATATTCTTTAGAAGGTTCCAGTGAGAATAAGGTAAGATAACTTCTTTTGAGAATCAAATGTCTTCAAAAGTGTCTTAGCATGCTTAGGAAAGTTACTCTTTAAAAAATTAAACAAACACATTGACTCTTCAATTTTTACTATGTCATTGCCAGGGTCTACAAACGCAGTTGATAAAGTTGGCGAAAAGTTTCTCTTGCCTATGATTTAAAAGATTCCAATCTCGGTTACAACTTAGATTTGAGCAAGTTCAACTTAATCCTAAAATCTAAAAACCTTCAAGCCCAGTTACTAAATTTACTTCCACTTTTTCCAAACTAGTTCCCAGAGCCTGGGGCTCCTGCTATAAACATTCCAGGAGCAGAGACCTAAGTGTCTAGTCACACACCCCAGAAGCTGTTTGGAGTCCAAAGAACCAGCCAGAGGGGGGGGAAAGGAGAGAGAAAGAGAACATTTCCCTACAGCAATGAAATTCTCTCTGGAGTCATGCCACCAGGGCAGGGTGCAAGCTCCCCTGTTGGCATTAGGAGACCACTCAGAAGTAACATTCTCCATCTGCTTGTGTGTGACCGGGACACCTCTGTGTACCCTTCCCTCCTCTCAGTTGGTTTCCTCTCTAGGAACAGCTTTCCACTGAAAAAGAAGGGCCACTCTGCTCCAAGGAAGCGCGCACCAATCTCTAACTTTGGATCCAAAGGTTAAATAAATAATTATGCACACACTCTCGCCGACAGGTTCTCTGTACACCCAGCAAAACCAAACCCACAGTCCAGGGCTGGGAGCAGCTGATCCACAGCCCAGCCCGGCGGGTCCGCGCACCTACCTTGACCTCGCCCCCGTCGGGCTCCGCTTCCGAGAAGCCCAGTCCGGACTCGAAGGCGGTGGCGGTGGCGGGGGGCTCCCGGGATCAGCGCAGCGGCGAGTAGGGAACACGCCAGAGCCAAGAAGCCCAGCAAGTGCATGGTGGAAGGACCGGGAGCGGGGAGGCCGGTCCGCTGGCAGGCGCAGGCTGGGGCGCGAGGCTGAGGTCCCCTCTCGTCCCAGTCCCGCGGTTTCCTTCGGGGGAACCCCCTGAGCGAGCGGATCCCGGGGGCTCCGCAGCTCCCAACTTTTGCCCT